GGTAGTGGATATCCCCCAGCATCTTGCAATTGAAGTTGTCCATTAGCAGCTTCTATGACCTCTTAATCTGCTCCATGGAAGGTGAAAACTGCAGTATGTCGTCGACATACACCAGCAGCAAGAGCAGCTGCTCCCCCTCTTAAAGCAAAACAAGCTGTGATCCGCTTGGGACGTCTTGAAGCCTCTACTCAGTAGCAACTTCTCTAGCTTCATGTACCAGCACCTCGGCGCTTGCTTAAGGCTATAGATAGCCTTCTTGAGCGTGCACACCTGTTGGTCCTATCTTCAAAGCTGTCGGGCTACTCCATGTAGATATCCTTCAGCAGTATTCCATTGAGAATTGCAGTGGTGATATCCATCTGCTTCACGTGCCATCCCTTCACAGCGGCACCAGCCAGCACAGTCCTCAATGTCACTGGCCTAACAACGGGAGCAAAGATCTCCTTGAATTCAACCTTCTCTTTCTACTAAAACCCCTTGGCAACCAAGCGGCTCTTGAACCGCTTCAGCGCACCATCAGCTCCACTCTTCACCTTGAAGACCCACTTGCTGCTGATTGTCCATCGCCCCTCGGCTAACTCAACAAATTTCCAAGTCCCATTTTCATAGAGACAGTTGAACTCCGCATCCATGGCAGCTTTCCACTCCTTCTGGGGTCCACTTAGTGCCTCTTCCACTGTGGCTGGTTCTCCAAGAAATGGTGTGAAGAAATAGAAGGCCATCTCTTCATCCTCAAGCAGACACGTATTGATAGGGCTCAAAGGGGTACAGGCATGGCAGGTAGTGGCAACAAGGATGTCTAATTATGAGAGTATATTTGAGGCTAAGTCGGCTATGCTAGCAAACGAGCAAAGCACCGTAGGTGGGCTACCCACACATACCAAACCATCCTTTCCACAAAACTCAGCCACACACTACCGCCGCTGCCAGAAACACCTTTGCCTCTGGAGATCACACAGTCATCCTGCCCTAGTCCTACCCCTGCAACCCTTGTCTTCCACCCCGTAGCACCCTACCCGCTTCCCAGCACACCCCTCCTCACCCCTGTCCCCTCTAGGCCGCTCTTGCTGGGGCGTGTTGCTCTTCGTACTCGTCTTCTAATGTCTGCCAGAGTTCACCCATCCAAGGGGCCCATGGGTCCGCGAAGGTCTGTGGGAATGCCGCTTTTGCCGCCCGGTTTGACTTCGAGAGGAGAGAGATGGCCTAGCTGCGTTGGAGCGTTACGGACCACCTCTGCCTGTAGTGAGCGTTGAGACGGGCTGCGGTGGTTATGAGGCACCCCTGCCTGTATTTTGTCTTGGCGGCGTAGTTGGCTAGCGTGGGGATGAGCTGCACAGTATCCCAAGCCATGGCCCCACATGTTTCCACCGCCAAACCGAAGAAGCCCGTGTAGCTTGGGCGACCCTCATAAAGCTTGTGTTTCCCCTCCGATGCTTCCTACGCTGCCCACCCCGGCGGTTTTCTAGCCCGCTTGTCCCGCTTCTGCAGGACCGGATCCGTGACTGTGACGTACGTCACCCAAGTTTCACCCGACTCTTGGTCCCGGATAGCCAGGTCTGTGCGCTTCTGGAGGACGGGAGGACAGAAAGCCGAGGTTTCATGAAAGGTCTTATAACCCGCCTCCTTAGCCATCCTAAGTGCTGCATAAACCAAGGCATTGTGGGTTCTTACTGTGTCTCCTCCGTCCCCGCACCGTAGGAGGTGGTTCGGGAGGCTCTTGTCGATGATGCACGAGTTCCCTCGCTTACAAGGGCAGACCTCGGCGACCGGCAGCTCCATGCCTAGGCGCAAGCCGAGGGCCATTGAGAATTGACCGGGAGAGATGCTAAGGTCGCCCCTCATTGGCACAGCATGGAGCCAGTCGCCTGCACTCACTCCCTTGAGGCTGATGAGGCGGATGGCATGGCCCCTGTCCTCACCCGGCCTGTCCTGAAGGGTGTCCGCTAACAGCTCGAGTGCCTTGCGCTCATTTACTATCTTGGAGAGCCTCAGCTGCAAGTTGCCGCTCCCAAGTTTCCCAGCACGATACTGTTGCTTGAGCCTCTGCGGGCAGGCCAGCTTCCATTTGGACTCAGGGGTTGATCTCTGGCGGTGGGGGAGCTGACTCATGAGAGAGGAGAGAGGTAGCGCTGGCAAGCAGGCAGTCTGGCGGCAGGTTCTGCTGTTGCAGAAGGATGTGAGCCGCTGTGACCAAAGCGAGGTACGCCACAGGCGCTTCAGAGACAGGGTCTAGCCACCCCAATTTTCAAAAGTCAAACTTGCCTTCCTAACCACCCAACCAAAGGTCCCTATACAGCCATGTCCCAATGATCGCCCAATTTAGTTAATATCCCAAATCAAGATAGAATTCCCAAATCTTGGAAATCTTGTAACTTGGGCGATCTTGGTCGGAATAAGGCGATCTTGGTATCGTTGGAAAGCTCTGCATTTCGAACAGTGACCTGCAAAACTGGGGTTGGTATCGTCCCCAGTTTTGCATGTGACACCTCAAGGACCTCATTATTAGGGTTGCATCTTTGATGCTAGGAAGGTTCCCACAATCCTTCCCAAGCATTTGGAGAGCCTTCCCTCACAAGGTTCTCTTAAAACCCCCAACTCCTTATTCTATGCCTAATGTTTTGTTCTTCCTCCATCCTTTTTAATGAAAGCAGTAGCTATACGTTTTTAGTTGGTTCTCACTCCCTAGACCATGAAATCAAGTTAATGGTAGCTAAGACTGGCGCGCGCAATCCTACCGAGCGGATTTGCATTTAGTTGAGATTTGAGTTCGTCGTAAGTCTCCAAAGTGACCGGATCCTAAGCAACACGTAGTAGGTATGAAATCCACCGAGAGATGTTGCAAGACACCATGAGGACTGCATGTGGGTTCAGTTGAGAGATGAGGAGGAGCGGCGACGCCGCCTCACCCAGTGTGTTGCGAATGTGATCTGTGCAGAATGCACCCTCCCCAACCGGGCTGCCGAACACCTTTATCCCCCCCTGAACCGTAGACAGCCCTAGTGGAAGCCCCCCCTGTTCTGCCGCTGCACTCCTCCCCCAGGCAGATGACTTGGTGATGTTGCAGCGTAGGCCAGCTGCTGCCAAGGCTGCCGTGATGGTACTGAAGGCGAGGCAGGCGGCCTCCCGTGGGCCGACGATAGTGATGTCGTTGGCATAGGCGACGACTGCCACCTCAGGGAAGGTAGTAGCCACGCTCAGCAGCGCAGGCTAGATCGCCGCTGCAAACAACATAGGGCTGAGGGGGTCGCCCTGCCGCACTCCTCGTGAACTCGGAATGAAATCAATGCCGAGCCGGTCATCAACCAGAAGTTTTGACGAGCCGTCGTAGAGGTTTCGCGCCAGAGGGAGGAGGGGACTAAGGTTGGACCATTGGAGAGCTTCAAAAAAGGCTTTGCTCTCAACTCTGTTAAATGCATTTTTCACGTCCAGCTATAGTACGATACGTGATTCGTCCTCCTAGAGTAGCGCGCGAACGGTATTTATGATGCACTTTTGGACCTAGGATTTGAAGGGCCGCTTTCGCTACGACACGGAGCAGGGCCTCTCCGATTGCAATAGGTCGGCCCGCGCCGTCTGGTTTTTCTAGCGCAATTAGGCGCGAAGGCAGTAGGATGTCGCGGAGCTCCTGGGTCTACACCGTGCTAAGTAATTGGTTAACGGCCTTAGTGAAAAGAATCATAATCTCCTCGTTGGCGAGTGCTGGATCTCGCAAGTGCTCAAAACATGTTCCGAAAGGTCCAACTCCTACCCCATTCGGGCACTTCGCCAAGATCTCCCTGAGTGTTTTGCTCGAAACGGCAAGCTCGTAGGACGTGCACCCTGTTACCCATGCCGGGATGTCTTCACCAGCCAGTGAATGTTTCGCCTAGAGTGCAGCGAGGGTTGCCGAGGTAGGTTTAGCCAGCGGTGTGGAGCGTAACGCGGATACCGCTTTTGAAATATTCCCCTTTTTCATTAAGGCTTCCGCGCATGCACTCAGCCCCTCGTCATCAGGCTGGTGCCTTGATGGGATTTCCGTATTGGGTATGGTGCCTGCTTTCTCGAAGAGGTCATCCCACTTTCTTTGCTGGAATTGATGCAATCGAGTTTCAATCTGTGCCCAGCGACTTCCGCTGACAGGCTCGGGAGCTGGTCGTAACGTCAGCCTCGGCAGGAATAGGAAAATCTTCCATGCACCTGGGCACATCGAAGATTTTTCCAAACCTAGCAGAGGCGCCAGTAAGCAGAAGCAGTAGGAGTCCAAGAATTGAGGAGGCAAACGGCTGACGAGGAACGGCTGGTCCACGCGCTGCAGCTGCTTCACCTCCCATCCCCCCGCCGCTTGCCAGATGGCATCGTCTTTGGCCAGGTCGGATGGCGATAGCACATCTGTCGTATCAGGCTCCCAACTGGAGCCTCCGTGGTGTGGTGTTTCTGGATATTGCCCCCGGTCGCTCTCCCTCGTATGGTGGAAACGTTCCTATCCACGCCTGTTTCATCATCCAGAGGTACCTCCTCCGATTCCACTTCCTCCTCGCACATAAACTCGGGGTCAGCAGCAGCGTTGTCAGAGCCCCCATCATCCTCATTCGTCGCGGCTACCATTGTTTCTGGCTTGTCGTGGCGTTCCCTCCACGTGCCCACCCGATCAGGGATCTCAAATCCCCCAACCAGTGCCCTTCCGCCCCTCGCTCCGCGCCCTCCCCCTGTTCTACCACCCCGCTGTGCTCCTCCAGCCCCCGTTGATGCACCTGCCGCGCCGCTCTGCCCTCTTCCCGCCGGCAACCACGGTGTGGTGCCTCTGCGGAGCGGGCCCTAGGTTATCGCCGCCCGGCGTGTTGCGTAGCGGTGTTGCGTGCCACACTGTCCGCAGTGAGGGGCGCCTCTACCGGAGCCATCGCCGCTGGCGCCGGGATAGCCGCGAGCGGCACAACGTCGTTTCCCACGAGATTGTCTTCTCCCTGGGCAGTCGCATCAATTTCCTGCCGGCTCTGCGATGCCGACCGGCCCCCTCGCCCTGGTTACGGTTGCCCTTGCCGAAGCCAGCCTAGGAGGGGTCCTGGGGCAGCAGGTCCCAGCCCTGATCCCAGCCGCCTCGGCGCTTGCTGGGCGCGAAACTTCTTCCCAGATTTCCTAGGGGCGGCAGAGGCAGGGCCGGCCCTGGAACGCACCGTCTGGCTGCGTGCCTGCCTGTCTCCGACCTTGTCACCAAAAGTCCTTCTGGCGGACACAACGACACCCGCAGAATCCCTTGCGCTTGGCTCTCCAGTCCCTTGCCTCGCCGCGGCCGTCACCACCTCAGCAATCACAAACGCTGGTACCGGTGACGGCGACGCAGCCACCTCCGCCTCCTCCGTATGTACCTGCTCCCCAACCGCCTCCGCCTCCTCCACAGCGTGGCCCCCTTCTTCAGCCAAATGAGGGCCAGCCAGCCAGCTGGCAGAGGGCATGGTTAAGCCGGCGCCAGCGGCAGCGGCAGGCGCGGATGCAGGCTCCCCTTCCGTCGCAGCCCTCGCGGACGCCAACATTGGTGCCGCACCTTCAACACCAGCAGCCACGGCAGCATCCACCACCCGTTCGGTCCTTGCCTCCCTCTCCTGTGGGCCCGGACCCCCCTGCAGCTTCCGCACCTGAAGAGGCATCTAAGTCAAGTCCCCACCGTTGACACGATGGATTCCCATGGGAGACATTATCACCAGCGGCGTTGGCGGCTCCTTCTCCTCAATCCCCGCAACACCGATGGAGCCTGTGGGAGGACGCTGCTTCACACAAGAGGTCTCGTCACGTCGAGCGGCGTGTGTCGAACGTGGGAACCTGTTTGACCCTACTGGCGCTGGTTCTGGACCAGCTGCACGCATGCCAGGTTTGGATGTCCCATCTGGGAGGAGGGCCTCCGGTACTGTCGTAACAGGAGCAGTCGGAGGCCGTGGCGGCTGCGACAGAGCTGCTGCGGATGTTGCCCTCGATTGGACTGGTGCCGGGCTCCCCCGAGTCTGCATTGGGGCCTGGCCACGCCGCTCTGCAACAGCTTGTCATTGCTACTCTACAGGCCCCCCACGACATTGTGCCGGCAGCCGCGCCCGTGCTACACTGAATGGATAAGCGCCTGACTTGGATACTGGTCGAGTAGCTGCACTCTTCCCTTTGCCCGCCTCCTTGATTCCCGGCCGGGCCTTGGGCTTCCCCATTGCGGCTTCTCCTCGCCTGAGGGTGTTTCTATTGGGGCGGGTAGGATCTAATCCATGTTGTACAACTCCTTGTTATTGATTTTGCCGTCCTTCTCTTCTTGCCACCCCTTACGCGCGGCCGAAGGCAACTTGCTTGGGTCCTCCCAATCGGCTATACTTCAGCCTTGAAGGTGGCGCTGCCACTCTCTTCTCGCGGATTGCAGTCTTTTGCCCATATGGTGAAGCTCCTTTCTGCACACTCCTCTTGGTGACCTTGGCGGTTGCAGCAGGCTCGGGCTGACATGGTGAGTCCACACGTGCTGAATCATCCTCTAACCCCTCCTCTCTAGCAGGACCAGTAACTTGCTGCTCACCACCGCCACTATGGTCACTGGTCAGCTCTGACACATGGAGTTCATCAAGGTGGAGCTAAACCTCCTCCACTGCAGATTGCTCAATCTCACTTGTCAACATTGGTAGAGAATTCACAACGATTGGTCGTATCAAATTCCACTACTTGCTCTCATACCACTTGTTGTTCAGGATCCGCCACTTTGAGTACTTTTGACGAACTCTTTACTCAACTAAACACAAATCCGTTAGGTAGGATTATGCGCCATAGGCATAGCTACCATCTCCAATTCGAATCACATGGAAAGATGGTCTAGAAAATGAGAACCAAGTAAAAATGCCCAGCAGCTGCATGAATAGAATCATGGAGAAAGTAAAAGCATTGAGGCATAGAATGTAGGACTTGGGGACTCCAAGAGAACTATGAGAGGGAAGGGATTCTTTAAGAGCTAGGGAAAGACAGTAGGAGCCTTCCTAACAGCAAGGATGCAACCCTCATTATGAGGTCCTTTAGGTGTCACATGCAAAATCCAATCTAGTTGGATTTTGCCTAGGTGTTGCAACATTTGCAACCCATGCTAGAATCTTCTAACCACCCCAATCCAAAATTCAAAGTTGCTTTCCTAATTGCCCAACAAAAGATCCTCTTTATAGTCTTGTTCTAATAATCACCCAATGTGGCTGAAAATGAGACAGATTTTCCAAAACTTGGAAATCTTATAACTTGGGTGATCTTGTTCGGAATAAGGCCATTGTGATATAGTTTGAAAGCTCTGGATTTCTCCTGCATGATCAAGCATGTAGACTTGGAGAAAAACACAGAGATGATAAAAATCAACAGCCATGCATAATGACATATGCTCGTGCAAATAATGCAAGCACAAATAGCACGGGCACTCGGCAGGACGTTCGGATGACATGCACTAAATAAACAAGCACAACACCAGCTGCACGCACCTCCGAAGCAGGTGCACCATTGTTCTGCGGGTGCAACGCTTGTGTAGCCGAGTTGCTGCAGCATTGGCACACTATCGACTTGCAACATTGGCAAGCCGCGACTTTTCTCTGCTAGAGCGCGGTTGACTAAATCGTGCTGGCACGCGGTCGACCATGCTGCGCTGGAAGTCGACCATCAGCTTGCTAATTCTGGTGTAGTCCTGCATGCCAATGTTGTTGCGATTAGTTCTAAACCATAATGAAACTCTTGCGGTTTTGCCCCGTAAATGCACAAGTGCTGGAAAACAAACAAGAAACGAACGCAAAGATCACTCTTGCCCCGTGCGTAGCTCAAAAAAGCTCCCGTTGAGAGAGTTATTTCCGAAGGTTGGACCCCCCAGAATCATCAACAGGATGGCGGCGCGCATAAGAACCACAAAAATGGCGCAAACATGGTTGCTAATTTGTTCAACAGCAACCCAAAAGGCAACGGCGGTGCTAAGAAGAAGAAGGGGCACGCCGCGGGCCAGTTCTTCCATGTCGGGGACAAAGGGGAGCAAGGAGACAGTTCTGCCAAAGTTGGAGCAGAGCTTCACCCCTAGAAGTTTTGGTTTTGGGCACCGGCAACGCGTGGACGATAACGCCGCGCAAGGACCTGCTTGACAGCCTACGCACTCATCACAAAAAACCTTGGTTTTTGAAGGGGGTTCGACGGGGGGTATAGTTCAGGTGTTTTGGTTGGCGAAGTTCCGAAGCAAAATCGCGACCAATCACGGAATGAAATCGGACCGCGTTTGTTTGTCGAAGTCTAGATCGAATCTGCGACTCTGGTACATTGCCGTTTATTTGAAGCGTGCCAAATTTGTTGTGATTTTGTAATTGGTTTTTCAAGCTTTGACTTCCCTAAAATGTGTCTGCAAATGATGGTTGATTGCATTAACTTGCAACTACTTACTCGAATCTTGGTGACGCATACTGCAAAACGCATAAGCGCATCCTTGAGGGCAGCTTGGGCACGAGGGTGTTGCTTGGCCCACTTCCTTGCAAACCAGTTGGTGGAGGTGGGTTCTTGTGGTAACTCCATAGGGAGGAAGTATGCCTCCTTGATGAGCGTCCGTGTGTCGGTCTCAATCGCCTGCCAACATATGCTATTGATATTATTACATTCTGCATTCATATCCATGCAATTCAAGCACTAAACAGATTTACCTGCCGCATGGCGGTGTCCCGGCCAGCTGGATCATCCACCGGCACCACATCCGGAATGCGCCTAGCATGGAACTTCATGATCCTCCCATCTATATTGCGCTTGTTGGACCGACGGTAGATCCTCTTTACCAACGGTCCGTGCAAGTGCTCGAACATGTTGGTGCTGAATTCAATCACATGACCTGCGCGACGTATGGAGTCAGCGTAGTGCGACATGAGATGTGTTTTCACAAGGCACCAAGAGGATGGCTGCTTTGGAAACGCAGCCTGCAATTGCTCAACGAGCCTGATGGGAGTGGGAGATGACAACACATGCAATCACAGAGTCTACTTATTCATATGGTTTTCCTATTCGTGATCCTTTCCTATCAAAGTTTAGCACCAAACATCCTCAAAAGATTGCCTACTACAAGAGCACATTTACAGTAGCCAAGCATTCATCCCATGCACGGAGGTTTACATGCGTGGTATTATTACCGAGAGGTCATCTTCTTCAGCTCCCGAAGGGACCCCTCATTGTGCCCCTAAGGCTGGGAGCACAGGATGTACCAGCCAAGATAGGCACGAACGGCATCCATCTGGGGCTGGCGAAGCAGGCCTGCAAAAACAAACACCATGACCTGCAAAGAATGTTGATAGCAGCAAAGGGGAGGGTGAGCACAGATGGTGTGAGGAGCTGGGACAAACAATGGCAGCATGAGCAGACTGCTTGAGGGTTTAGGCCAGGACAAGCAACAGGGAATGGAGGGTTCATACCTGCATGACGGCCCTGTGCTCATAGGTCGCCACACATGCTCCGGTCTCGAAGTAGGCGCTCTCCGGCAGGCGCATGTGATTCAGGCGCGTGTGGTCGTGAATGAGAGACAGGCGCCTGCCCATACACATCAGTTCAGCGGTGGCAAAAGGGCAGAAACATGTTAGTAATAGGACAGAACTTATGGTTTGAGTAAATGTGACGAAGAGCAACGAATCCAATCCCCAAAACACTGACCTGTCCATCTGTTTCACACGCCGCTTCTTCATCTTGTGCACGACAGCCACAATGTGGCTCATGATGCCCAGGTCCGCCTGGTGCATGATGTCAGGCGAGGTAGGGATTGCCCCACGCGGTCCCTGGGACATCCCACTTCTAGAGCACGCACTGGAAATGGGGATGTGGTGGGGAATGGAGGAGAGATGTACGTGAGAGTGGATAGCTAACCTAAACCACAAGTGGGGTGAGTTCAATGGGGCAGAGCACATTTGGCAATTCATGACGGGGCGGGCGAGAGCATAGACTACTCATGGGCCGGGGAAACAGGTCACTCACCTCAACAGGGTAGGTAGAGTAGGCCTTGCACGGGTCAGCCTGGCTAGTTGTCGTCCCAGCCGCCTCGCTAACAATCCATTGTTGCTGTTCAGGCGTGCGCGGCGTGTTCCGTGCCTTGACAGCACTCAGATGCTCTTGTTGTAGCACGGGGGTGAGGGATGGGATAGAAAAGGTAAGGGTGGTAGCTATGTGGGTTTTATCAGGCGACCCACAAACGAGAATGTATTTGAATGTGTGCAGATGGCATGTGACCCCACCTTTGCAGCATAGCAAATGCTGCACGGCATCCGCGATCCATGCGAGAGTGTCCAACTGATCTTGCCGCTCTCGGGGTAGTCGCACACCCAGGCGTACAGGAGGGGCCGCACGGTTTGCCAATCACCAAAAGGGTCCCTGAGACGGAACCCGCTGCAAGGAACAGGTAGAGGGGCAACAGGAATTCGGGTTACGGCTTTTTTAGGGAGGAACGACGAGGGGCAAAGGGCCATGCTACATACAGAGAGGGTTTGCATACCATGCAGGTGGTGAGATGATGTCTTAGCAAGATGCAAACCGAGTACAGACCTGGCGATGCCATCAAGAAGCGGCTGCAGCACGGTGATGACGCAACGCTGGAAGAGCATCACCTTCTCCACGGCAGACATTGCAGACGGGGGGATAGGAAGGAGGGCAAGTAGTGTGTGCCCGGATTTCCCTCATCGCTTGGCCTGGGAGATGTTGGCCAGCGTCATCATGAGCGGCCACGCCTTCTTCCAGCCGTTGATGCTCATGTGCGTCATATCCGAATATAAGATGATCCCCCCCACAACTTTGGACCAGCCGAAGTATTCCTGCAGTGCACGACAAAGCGACAACGGACACACGGTTTAGGGCTCAAGATGCTCTTCACAGATCAGTGCAGCGATGGAGGCATGAGGAAGGATTGGGTTTGGGGTGGCAACGTGGTCTTTCCTTACCTGAGCATCGTTCCACCACGTTCCTGTTTCAGGTGTGGTATAGCGACGGCTGCCTGCGTCAGGGTCCTCATCAACACGCGCCTTGAGCTTGAAGCCGGGCGCGTTGTTGGGATGTCCAAACATTTCAGCGAATGCCTGGTGTACGGTGGCAAAGGCAGGTGAGAGGAGAGGCATGGTTAGTGGCGGTGAAGGTGGGTGTACGGTTAGTACAAGGATAACTACGTACATGCAAACCCTGTGTGCCTCATCATCATTTCACGGCCTTGAATGCAAAGTCGGCTTACCTGGGCTGAGTTCTAAAAGAGCAAGCGCTGTGGTGGATGACCGTCAATCTCGAAGGTCGCCACCAACCATCCGCGATTGAGCCCTGCCAAACGCTCCATCTCGAACCGCTCCAGATCCTTACAGTTCCGGAGCTCCGAGATCACAAGAGGCGCAAGGCCGGGCTCTACGACTAGCTGAAGCAGGCCGTTGATGTCAAACTCGGCAATTCCCATTCCGCCATTCATGCGCCGAACGAAATGCAGCAGCTTCAACGCGAGCGGATTGAGGGGCGTGGCATTGCTCCGTCTGGAGATGATTGTTGGCGGCGCGGCATGACTCCCTTCGGGCCGGCTCTCAGGATGGTCACTCGTGTCAGCCGCAGGAGCTCCTGGTTGTGGTTGATGTTCATCTTCAGGAGGCCCCTCGTTCACGTTGTTGGGAGTTTCGTCAACGTGAGCTTCAGGCACGCGTGGAGGACCGCTCACACTGACAGCGTTGGATGCGTTAGACGCTGTAGATGAACCGGGAGCGGCTGGAGCGTCCGACAGAATATTGTGGACGAACAGCAGAGCGTGAAGACCGGCGGTTGGTGCAGATCGCGTCGGCCTTGCCACGGCGGATAGTCCTTGGCAAGGGGTCCGCCGTGACTTATGACCGCCATAAACTTGGGCGTTGGGGAACCATCTGTTGCAGAACTCGCAGACGACGCCTGGTAAAGAGCCCATGTGTTACGGATCCGTTGTAGAGTCGAGAAATCGCCTATGAAGCTACTAGCCGTGATGAAGCTTGTGAACGCATTAAGTACTCCGTTGAAGAAGCCTGTGACAGCTACACGATCATCGCCGATGCGCGCACTGTGGTGGGCGGCTTGTATCACTGCACGACTGGCACTTGACATTGGCGCTAATGTTTATGACTGGCTAACGATGTCGAGCCGCGTGGTCGTTACCAGGCACGATACAGATCGCCCACCTCACGGGCCGTCTTCCCTACAAGGCGTGTCGCCCCCGTTTAGAGTGACCACGACGTGAGCAGATGAGAATGTGGAGGATCTTAAGTCTCACGGTCGTTTGTGTGCGTCGCGAGCACGGTGAAAATGACGTGCCTATTGAATCAAGAACTTGTATTTAGGAACCGTGCGTGAGAGTCGGGGGATGAGGAAGAGCGGGAAGAGATGCGTTTGGATCTGTGATTGTGTCGCGAATCGATATAGGGGGGAAATCAGAATCACGTAGGTGAGCTCAAGAGGCTTCAAACAAACATGGAAATGCAAATGTACAATTACAACTTAACAAGACACTCAAGTCATTCATAACTAGTAAACATTCATATCCTTAGGACTGATCTTGAACAACCCTTACTTGATAACGATACGGGAAGTACCCAATAACTCCATGCCCTAACGTATGATTGTTGCGTGGAGCGAATACCTATAGCGTGTCTTCTCTCGAGGTGTACTGTACCTCTACGCACCGTGCTGAATGAATATGCAAGAATGGATGAGAATGTCGTACAATAACACAACGATTTCAATATCCATGCAATGTTGGATGAAAATGCAACACCATACCACAACGGATTCACCATATCGCGCAACCCGCAGGCCTGAACGCTGCATCGTCGCACAGTCTAACCATGGCTGTTGATAACGCATCTACGCTTGTGCGTTGGGCCTGTGCTTCATACGACTCCTTCTAAGCACCTTGTTTAATGTCTGTGCAAGAATGGATGCCAATGCAACACCATACCACAAGGGATTCACCATGTCGCGCAACCCGCAGGCCTGAACGCTGCATCGCCGCACAGTCTAACCATGGCTGTCGATAACGCATCTACGCTTGTGCGTTGGGCCTGTGCTTCATACAACTTCTTCTAAGCACCTTGTTTAATGTCTGTGCAAGACTGGATGCCAATGCAACACCATACCACAACGGATTTACCATGTCGCCCAACCCGCAGGCCTGAACGCTGCATCGTCGCAAAGTCTAACCATGGCTGTCGATAACGCATCTACGCTTGTGCGTTGGGCCTGTGCTTCATACAACTCCTTCTAAGCACCTTGTTTAATGTTTGTGCAAGAATGGATATCAATGCAACACCATACCACAACGGATTCACCATGTCGCGCAACCTGCAGGCCTGAACGCTGCATCGTCGCACAGTCTAACCATGGCTGACGATAACGCATCTACGCTTGTGCGTTGGGCCTGTGCTTCATACCACTCCTTCTAAGCACCTTGTTTAATGTCTGTGCAAGAATGGATGACAATCCAACACCATACCACAACGGATTCACATTTGTTACTGTTGATAATCGTGTTAGAATGTCGTCCGCTGGCCCTAAACCATTGTGGCAAAGCCTAAAAGTGCACAGTACATCTGTCACAAGTAATAATTCTGGACGGTCGTTGTGTGTGTGACGTAAGAATCACCAATTAACTTACCCCAACCCCGTTGTAAACCATTTGCAACTTAGAGTTTGATGAAATGCATTGTTGTATGTTTGAATTTAGTGATTTATGCGTTGGCAACCGTGATTGGCCGACGCATCTCAAACGATTCCCCCCGCAACACAGTCATCAGCGAAGAGGTACTTCAGCCATTGAGCGGCTGAGATCGAGCGATAGGTGGGTTTATGCTAGGGTGGCTACACGTACACCGTCCAATATAGCCTGATAGGGTTACATTACTCTCTCTAGTCTCGCAACCCACCCCAACCACCCTCGTGTCCCACCCACCTGCTTCCGTCACTCCTTGGACCAACACTTTGACGCTGCTCGTTGCCCTGACACACGCCTCTCCATATCGGCCTTAGCGCGAAGCATAGTGGCTACTATGACAGATTTAGTTGAAGCGGCGGTTTCGGAAACAGATAACAGTGATAGACCGTCGATAATCCCATCGTGGGATTCAGTTGCAGAACCCTTTCGAAACCGGCTCAACCCTTCCGCGCGATTTGCAACTTTGCTCCTCCTACAATTACCATGACACGTGCAACACGTAACCAAGCAATGGAGGAGGAACAGGCTGGCCGCCGCGCGACAAGGAGGACATCTAAACAAATCGATAGGGAGTGTGGTGGCGGTGCTAAAAAAACTAATGCGTCCGTCGCTCGTGGCATTGGGCAGAAAAAAGCGGCGGCAAAAAAGGTCGCGCGCGGTCAACAGGAGGCCGACAAGAAAGCGGAAGACAAGGGGCCTAAACCAACGCCACGCAAGCGTGTTTCTACAGTGAACAAAGATGCGGATGTTGCCTCTGCTGGAACCGAGCCCGATTTGAGTAAAGACGGCACCACTGGCGGCAACGAAGATCCGGGGCGAGGGAGCGCGAGTCTTGCACTCTCGTCGGCGGAGATGGAGGGATCGGCGACGGAGGGAAATCACGGAGGAGATCCCCGCGCCGAGCATGCCGCAACCAAGGAGTCCAAGGCGGCGGCAACGCAACACCATCTGACGCTGCTCCAGCCGACCGTGGTCAAAGTTTCTGCAGCCGTGCTGGATAAGGACAAGGTGGGGGAGCACGAGTCGGTGGGGCTGGTCGGTGGCTCTCCACCTTTTGGTGGACGGGGGAGGCGTAGGCAGAGGAAGAGCAATGGGGAGGATGATTATGACACCGCCGTGCCCGGGGACCTCATTACGCGGGCGAAGAGGCGGCAGACGATAGGTAGTGCTGACGACGCCGGAGGCGCGGCAGTTGGGACACCGCGAGGTGCAAAGGAAGCTAGTGGCAAGGCGGGTGGTCAAGCATTGCGCCAGAAGGGCCGACCCGCAGCAAGAAAAGCATCCGGCGGAAGGAGAGGCAAGAAAGCAGCGACGGGAACAAAGCCGAAACGGGGCAATGAAGACCCAGGTGATGCGGAGGAGGAGGAGGATGAGGAGGAGGATGCGGAGGGAGAGGAGGATGAAGAGGAAGCGGAGGAGGATGACACAGATGTTGGGGAGGATGAAAAAGATGAGAATGATGGCGGGGAGGACAAAGAGGAGGAGGAGGAGGAGGAGGAGGAGGCAGAGGAGGAGGAGGAGGAGAAGGAGGAGGAGGAGGAGGAGGAGGAGGAGGAGGAGGAGGAGGAGAAGGAGGAGGAGGAGGAGGCAGAGGAGGAGGAGGAGGAGGAGGAGGAGGAGGAGGAGGAGGAGGAGGAGGAGGAGGAGGAGGAGCAGGGTGACGACGAGGAGGAGGATGTGGAGGAGGAGGAGGAGGAGGAGGAGGAGGAGGAGGAGGCAGAGGAGGAGGAGGAGGAGGAGGAGGAGGAGGAGGAGGAGGAGGAGGAGGAGGAGGAGGAGGAGGAGGAGGAGGAGGAGGATGTGGCGCCGGTGAAGGGACGGGGCGGGCGTGGCAGACGGGTGAGTGGTATAGGGAAGGAGGGGGGCCGGACTCGCCCTTCCCGAAAACGCGGGGCAGTTGACGCTGCGCGCGGTGAAGCATCGGGCAAACCGAGGGCGCGTAAGGTGAAGGTCGAAAGTGAAGGGGTTGGTAAAAAGCAAGGGAGCCAGGGAGCAAAAGGGGATGGAGGAGGAAAGGGTGGCTGTGCCAAAGGGGCTCTAGTGGGTACCAGCAAGAAAGAACCTGCCGGTAAACGTCGCTGTGTCCGCCAAAGCACCCCGCGGAAAGGTGGCAACGAGAAGGCGCAGGCTGCCCCAAAACCGAAGGGACAGCAGAAAGGTGAGCATTGTGTCCAATAGAACTGGCGTGACGTGTTGAACCATCTGTTAAACCGTGCCAAAAAACACCCTTTTTCACATTGTTTCTCCCATGCAGGGAAGGAGAAGGTCGACGAGTCTGCCAAGCAAGGTAAACCCTCTTGTCTCAAACCAGTACAACCCTGAACCCGATCTAGATTCAAACCTTTCTGAATATGCATGCATGTCTGGCCCCGCCTTGAAACCGATCGACTCTAAAAAAAAATTCCGGCTCCCTCTACATCTCAGCCCCTCGCGTTACAGGCATTGGGCCGCCCGTAAGCGTGCAACGAATGCATCTAACGAAGGCTACCGGAAGAGCGAGTGTTACATCGCTCTCCTCCAGAGCACCAAGGTACTACACGCCATGGGCCGGCCTGAGCAAAGTCGCTGCGACGGCACCAGGCGCGCCAAGAGGAGAGGAATCCGAATCCCCTCCACCTGCCCCCGTCACGCAGTCCCCACTCGCCTCACCCTCGTACCAATTTTGGCAACTCCACGCTTCTCCTGTCCGGGGCAGGGCGGTCTCCCCTCTCGCCGATCCTTCGCACAGGCATCAGGCAGGCAGTTATGCCAATCCCTTCCCTGAGCTCCCCTTTTCCCGCCAGCGTGATAGTGTGAGGGCACACGGGACTGCTGCAGAAGACGTTGATCCCCTTGGCCAGAGGGGGGATTCTTCACACCCTTTTCCTCTGCTCATGGGTGCCCTAGGTGAAAGTGCGAAGCACGAGCATTTTTTTACACGGGAGGAGTTCCAGGCGCTGCGGTCTGAGATGTACGCCATGTTTGCACAGCTCGGCCTGCGTCGTGGAGTACCTGCCAGCTATGCCGGCGGGTCGGCAGCCCTGCCTATGGCTGGTACCCTGCCGCCGATGAGCGCCATGGACAAGGCACGAGTGCTAGTGTTGCAGGAGACAGACCCATTCCCGGTATGTGGCAGGCTACATGGGGAGGGTTGGGGTGGACGTGGTAACAAGGGCGGGGTTGGGGCTGACGTGGCCGTTTCGAAGGGAACACGGGAGCGGCGCGTGACGAGGCGACGCGTATCAGGTGGGTGGGGGGTGACGTGGCATGGGGTGGGTGGGTGTGACGTTGCAAGTGGCGCGGGTTGTTGGTGGACGTGGTAGATGCGGGTTGGGTGTGACGTGGCAAAAGGTGAGGGTTGGGATATGACGTGGCGGTGTGAAAGGGTGCAAGGGAGTGCCGCATGACGGCGCGAGGCATTTCAGGTGGGTGGGGGGTGACGTGGCTCTTGGTGGGGGGTGTGACGTGGCAAGTAGGGCGGGTTGTTGGCGGATGCAAAAGGGTGTGACGTGGTAGAATGTGAGGGTTGGGGCTGACGTGGCGGTTTGGAATGGTACACGGGAGCGGCGCGTGACGAGGCGACGCGTGTCAGGTGGGTAGGGGGTGACGTGGCATGGGGTGGGAGGGTGTGACGTGGCACGTGGGGCTGGTTGTTGGTGGACGTGGCGGATGCAGGAAGGTGTGACGTGGCACGTGGGGCTGGTTGGTGGATGTGGCGGACAAGGAGGGTGTGACGTGGCGGAAGGTGAGGGTTGGGGATGACGTGGCGGATGCAGGTGGGTGTGACGTGGCGGAAGGTGAGGGTTGGGGATGACGTGGCGGTTAGAAAATGGTACACGTGACCACTGCGCATTACGAAGCGAGGCGTGTCAGGTGGGTGGGGGGTGACGTGGCTTGTGGTAGGGGGGTGTGACGTGGCAAGTGGGCCGGGTTGTTGGTGGACGTGTCGGATGGTGCAGGGTGTGATGCGGCAAGTTCAAACAGTGTTGCTAGTCACCATCCAATGGTCACGCGGCCACCCTCATAACTGCTGGTTTCTCTCTTCCATGTTGTGTAGTATACCTTACACCCCTGCGCAGAACAAAGCCTACTTAGTGTGCTCTCAGCTCATGTTTCTGAACCCGCCAGAGAAAATACAGTACTACCCTGCACCGGAGGAAGTGTTCGGAGCGTTCTCTGTCCACTTGTCTGCAGAAGGGCTCGAGGCAATGAAGCTGCTATGGTTGCACAATGACAAGTCAACCATGGGAGTCTTCAACCACCAGCTGTCCTCAACAAGGTCAACTATCAACTCCACCCTCAGGCCAGCAGCATACACCGGCATGGGCCTTGCCGTTTACAGCCATCTTGTGGATAGCCTGCCCACTGAGCTACACCCAACGACCTGGTTAGACGACGATCAACTCCTAGCCGAGTACAGAGATGGTATGTGCAGTGCAACTCGAAAACACAATATGCCCTACCATATGCCCCTTGGCAGCTTCATATCACCGTGCGATGTGGCTCACCCTGACTCTCATCCCCCCATTTGATTTCTCTACAAAACCCTTTCCAACCCATACCCTCCCTGCCAAAAAGGTGAAAAGTGGGCCCTCAACTGGCACTTTGACAAGGCCACCAGGACACCCTTCAGCAACCCCTTGTTCGCTTATGCGTTCAAGCTCTCCTTCAAGAGGGGCGGGGCGGTGTTCACCAAGTTCAAGAGCCGCATGGTGGCATGGGGCCTGTTTTCGGTAAGGATGTAGATATGTGTTTGTACCCCCGTGCCTCATCCCCTTAACCCCTTGCCTGTACTTTAGCTAAAACCCTGGTCGATTAGGCCTTTGCAGTTACGTAGATAGTGACGACTGCATCACCGCTTTCAGTTGCCTCATTTATCCGTAACCTACCCTCCTCATAAACCTTCCACCCAACCCTACACCACATTGCAGATCGAATGGCCCCTTCTACAGGATAAGCGTCGCAAGCGAATCAGTAGCCAGCCGGAGCAGAACAGGTCAGACTACCAGGAGTGGTGCGAAAAGGTCAAATAGATGATCCATTTTGCTGTCGTGGAGCGGAGGATCCCCCACGATCCAGCTATGGGTGCGTTCGTCTTTCCGAACAAGTTCCTCATCGACGACGGCGATCTTGGAGATGTCGTCCTTGCCCACCGGGTGCTTTCAAGGCCCGCCAGTGCGTAGGCTATATGACCTGGTGCTAAGACTGCTTATTGCTAGAATGCTGAATAATGGTACTTGTAAACCGCAATAGAAAATCCAATTTTGAAATCCTCAATATCCAAAATGAACAAAAACAGAATTTAGTTCAGAATAATTTGGTCACGAATTTGCAACAAAACGGATTGCGCCCGAATGTCATCCGGAAAAGCTCGCGTGCCAAATTGGAACTTGAACCGAGCCAAACCTTATCGCAAGATGTGTCTCGGAGCTCCTATCAAATGACTCCAACCGTCGGTCAAAATTGGCTCCGGATTTTTTACGCGAAGACAATCGAAATCAAAATTCATCCAAACTTGGCATAGGGTTTTTGTGATGCTGCAGCAATCAACGAGAAGTGCTCTGACTGTGGACACGCGTTGAAGGTGGTTGGTGCGGAACGAGTTGCGTTTAAGGTGTTGGTGCAACCTACGGTTTGCACGTGGCTTGTTGTTCGTATGCGTGCATTCGTGTGTGCATGGAGTGGTATGAGGGATGAGATAACATATCTTTAATGCTTATTAGAGTGTGTGAATGTTGAGTCATGATGTCAAATATATGTGTGTGTGTGTGTCTATTCAATCGCTAATCATTGCAAGTCGCGTGTCTACGTCATTGCCTGTGTGTCTCGCGCGGTTCTATTTTGTCGTTTGTGTGTGTCGCGCGGTTTCTATTTTATCGTATGTGCAACGTTCAGCATGTCGCAGATGTATGCACCAAAACCATCAAGAACTCAAGGATGAGTTTGTGATGAAGAACCATAGCCTTGTTTTCAAGATTCAAGTGATCGCGGCGCCCGCTAAAAGGGTACACCTCAAGATATTGAAAACAGTTGCATTACTTTGTGTAGTGTAACATTTCACTTGGTGTAGGCCCTAGTGAAGGGTAGTTTCGAGACCCTTCGTGGTTGGGGATAGTGTTGCACTGTTCCACATCACTATACTTCGGCTCTTGGGGATTGTAGGAGCTGGGAGTCATTCCCAACTCGTAGATCTTCCTAATTTGTGTTCTAAAACTATAGTGGCTGCCATAGTGCGGTTCATTCAAACCGGCGCAGTGTCGACAATACGTGGTAAAATTGTGTGATTTCAATTTCCTATTGTAGACGACGTTAAGACGGTCCATAGCCAATTTGAATCAGGTCATTTAAAGCTGTAACCAGAACGCTACGACCGTTTAGAGCCGCTGTGCAGAAATCCGACTATGCACTTTATCTTTTGTTTTTTGGCACATTGGAGCCTACTGGGATTATAACAGCTGGTATCAGAGCGCCTTAGAGCAGCTATGACGATGGCTGGACCTGAAGAAAGGGGTGACGGAGGTGCTGGATGCGGAGAGTCACTTGAAAATGGTAGTGAGATAGACTACGGGGGTTGGCACGAACTACTAAGAGTGATCGTAGCTTTGCTTCGTTCCTTAGTACTTGCACATTCACCGAAGAAATCGGCAAGAATTTCCACTAGGCAAAGTCGAAATAACAGAATAGTTGAACAAGCAATAGCAACAATGACTATATCACACACCTAGCAACTCTGCAGCTAGCCTGATCGGCCGCCAGCACAGCTTGGTCGACCGCCTGCCAGCATTGCATAGAAGAGCCGCGCTAGCACTTCAGAAAGGCAACCTGTTAACACTGCAGGTTGACGGCGTGCCAACGTTGCAGTAGAGCGGCTGTGCAGCGTTGCCCTGTAGAAGAGAGCAGTCCGCATGCTCGCAGGTGCGCACAAACGATTGGCCCGACTTGCATTGCTGTGCATCCGTCGGCTGTTGTTTGCGCCTGACGAGCCACATCGACTTCGGATACCATCCCGAATTTTCCTTCGCCATCGCGACCTCGACGACGTTCGCATGCATCCGCAAAACTCGTCGAACAGGTTACCCGGTCGACCTGGTCGACCACCAAGTGCTTCCGGTCGACCACCAGGTGCCTCTGGTCGACCACAGCTCGTATCGAGCTACCCCTGGTTGACAGACCCCTTCCGTCAACCAGATCTGTCAGCGGTTGTCCTCGAGCTCCCCTCGTCGACCGCTGCTCACTTGTCAGGTCGACAACTACTCCGTCGAACTCCCGGTCGAATTGCAGGTCCACGGACTGCTCCGTCAACCTACCGGTCAAGCTGCAGGTTGACGGACTGCTCTGTCGACCTCCCGGTCGAGCTGCCCCTCCTGGTCGACAGCCCGCCCATCGCTGAGACTAGTCGATTGCAGCTGTCGAGCTCTCTTGTCAACAAAAACACCACAGCGGTTCCCTATAGCTGGACGAAGCCAGTCAAGCAGCTCTCCCACTATGAAATGTCAGCTGCTACTCCCGTACATCCGACCAAATCGTTGGCGTTGCCCAAGCGAGGGCGGGGCCAACACTCCATTCCCGTTAACACTGGATGAAATGGAGGACCCCAAGCACAAGGTCAACCCCATGATTCAGCCATGGCGCCCGTGCAACCTACTCTTGGACCTTCTAAGGATGAACCAAGGGTGTTCGGGCTTGACAATTTCAACGGTGACAACTTTGCTGAGTGGCCCTTCAGGATGGAGGACGTATTCGACCACTATGACCTGCTGGAGGTGATGGAGGGAATGGAGAAGCGCCTTGAGAACGACCCGGAGAAGAGCCAGTGG